TCTCAAAAAATCTCTCACAAAGACCACCCTCCCCCATGCTCTATAGATCCTTCTTAGATTCCAGTCACCACCCTGAAAAAAGCAGGTGATGTTTCCCATCTCTCACAGGTCTAATTCAAAGAGCACATTAGAGACCGCCAAAGAGACCTCCCACGGAGCTGTTCACAAGAACTTCTTTTCTCTCTGACACCCTACAGAGACAGCGCCCCTTATAGACTTCCCACACCACACAGATCTCCCATTGCCAAGGATGCTTCAAGGAACCTTTCCCAGAAGTTTCAGACTGCTCACAGTTGACACAAAACCTCTTACGGAGACTCCACAGAAACCTCATCCAGGGTTCTCAGTGGAGAACTTGATCAAGGGTCTCATATGGAAAGTTCATACATTCTGGAGCCTGAGCAGCTGATGGTGAAACATCATCAGCAAAATGGTACCCTAGACAGGATTGTGTTGTGAGTCACTGAGTATCACGGCCACATTGTCAGCATCATTCCAAATGGGATTCACTTATTGAAGAAACACATTATTTTTATCTTAGTAATATTCTTTTATCTCTGAAGAAAATCTACATTAAGACCTGTGCAAATATTTTCTTTCACAAGATTTCATTAGTTTGAACTTTGTTTTTACCTGGGGAGGGGTGCTGAGGGAATGAAGGTAGGACCAACAGACAAAGATATAATAAAGCTGGGATTAGGTGGAATCTGCTATCACCTCAACTAGGAACCTCAGTGTGTTCATATTGTACAGCACAAAAAAGGGGCTACCTAGTCTTAGTCGGAGGTCTCTGTACAATAGGTGTAGCTCAGGCTGTAAACTTCAGGAAAAGGAAGCTGTAGTTGCTAGTTTTGAACACAATAATCAGTGGTTCATAAATACTAATACTTAGACTGCTGAGGAAAATTCTTCTACAGCCTGGCCAATATAGGTAATCGTTTTGGCAATTTCTCATGGGTCCTAGGGCCACTGAGTTCTCAACATGGCTGGGTGCATGTCAACAACACATATTCACTTGTTGTAGGAGGCTACTTGCTCCCAGCTGCTCAGCCCCGAAATAACCACACAAAACTGCATTAATTAAATCACTGCTTGGCCTATTAGCTCTAGCTTCTTATTGACTAGCTCTTACATTGCAATTTAACCCATTTCCATTAATCTGTGTATCGCCACGTGGATGTGGCTTACCAGCAAGGTTCTGTCTGGTATCTGTCTCTGGCAGGGCTACATGGCTTCTCCTTGATTCCACCTTCTTTCTCCCAGAATTCAGTTTAGTTTTCTCTGCCTAGCTCTATTCTGCTAAGCCACTGACTGAAACAACTTCTTTATTCATTAACCAATAAAAACAACACATATACAGAACAATCTCCCACACCATTCACTCAGGACTTAACTCACTGGAGGGACTTTCTCCACTCCTTACAGAACTCTGATCAACAGTTTAGAGATTAACTAGTTTAGTTAGTTTACATTTTTAAACACAGTAAACTATTGTCAACTTCCAGTGAATGTATTTTGTCTGTTTGTTACCATTTGCCCAAATTACATTAATGCCACATTTTTGTCTCTCATTGGGGGGGAGGTTTTGAACTTAGATGGTTTTCTTTTTTTGAAAGACTTGCAGCAAAAGAAGTAAAAACAACTTAAGGAATGAAAGGGTTTATTTGTCTTACAATTTCAGTTATCCTGTGTCATTAAAGGAAACTGTGGTAAGACCTCAAGCAGGAATTTGAAGCAGAAACCATGGGAGAATGCTTCTTGCTGGCTTTATCAGCGTTGTGCTCAGCAGGCTTGCTTATACAACTCATGGTCCTCTTGTCTAAAGATGGTGCCACTCACAGTGGACTGTGCTCTGCTACATCAATGACAAAGACAATGCCCTACCCATATACCACAGTTCTATCTGACCTGGGTAATCCTTAAGGGAGACTCCCTTATATAGTGACTCTAGGCCAAAGGTTCTCAACCTGTGGGATGCGACCCCTTTGTGAGGCATCGAGTGATCCTTTCATAGTGGTTGCCTAAGACTATTGGAAAACAGAGATATTTGTATTATATTCAAAACAGTAGCAAAATTACAGTCATAATATAGCAACAAAAAAAATTTTATGGTTAGGGATCGCTACAAAATGAAAAACTGTATTAAAGGACCATAGCACTAGGAAGGTTGAGAACCATTGCTCTAGGCTGTGTCAAGGTGAAAGTTGAAGTTCATTAGGACAATATATATTATGCTTGTTATTTCAGAGCTGAAAAAAAGAGGCATTGCTTAAAACACTTAAAGACAAAAGTATTTACATGTATAAATATAATTTCTGCTAAGATTATTCTGAACTGAAGGAAGTGTACATTTAATTAGATTTATATAATAGCAATTAATACAATGTCTGACTTATCTGGCCATCACTTTCCAAAGTACATGCTTTGGTATGACTTTATGTTTCTCACAGGAATGAACTGTTATCCTTGCCTTGATAAATTCTATTTTAATGACAGCTGTTAAGTATGTGTCACTAGATGATCCACCAGGATCACACCATCATGGTACTTTCTCCAAGAGTTACAGAGTTGATGTAAAGGGATTTTTAATTAGTTTTGACAAAAATTTCATTTTTCTATTGCGTGTGTGTAGTTGTGTATTACATGCCTGTGAGTATATCTCACACAACAAGCATGACACCAAGCTGAATATCATGGGGTGTTTTCCTATGTCACTTTCTACATCATTGCCTTGAGACAGGGTCTCTCACTGAATCAGAAGCTCACCATGTTGGCTAGGCTGGTTGTTCAGCAAGCTCTTGGAATCTGCCCCACAATGATGGGGTTATAGGCATCCATAGCTATGTTTGACTTTTTTAAAAATGTCCTAAGCACTCTCCCTAGCTCCGTATAGTTTAAAATTAAATTATTTTTCTATGTTATTTCCCTGTGAAGACATTGAAAACTAAATGTCATAGTAGCAGTATGGTTGCCCTCTAGCCCTAATCAGATTATATACATGTTTTAACAGTGCAAGCTATGCAAGTAAGCATAGTGATCAGAACCAAATTAAATCAGTTAAGTGAAAATTAAAAGAAAACTTTCCTACAGGACAATATTGTCTTAGGGTAACTATTTTATCAGGTTTAAATGATTGATATTATTTCGAATTAAAGTTGTTGTATGAGGAGTCAGCCTGCTTTTTGTCCTAGCTATCCAGCTCCCTGGCTAGTTTAACCCCCAAAATAACCACACAGAAATTGTATTAATTAAATTAATGCTTGGACAATAAGCTTTAGTCTTTTATTATCTAACTCTCACATCTCGATTCAACCCATTTCTAATAATATGTATGTCACCATGAGGTCATGGCTTACTGGAAAAGATTCAGCATGTCTGACCTGGCAGCTTCATGGCGACTCTCTCCGCCTCCTTCTTCCTAGCATTCAGTTCTGTCTACTTTGCCTACCTAAATCTGCCCTATCAAAAGGCCAAGGCAGTTTCTTTCTTCAACCCATGAAAGCAACACACAGACAGAAGAACCACCTACATCATTTCCCCCTTTTCTGTTTGAACAAAAAGGAAGGCTTTAACTTTACTATACTAAAATTACATATAACACAACAGTTATTAAGCAAGAATTACAGTTACAATATTTATATCTATTTTATATTTTATCATAACAAAGGAAAACAGTATAACTATCTATCTATTCTTCAATTCCATCAAAGACTCCAGAAGGTTGTATTATTGCCTATGTAAACAAGAAGTAAGCAACTTCCAAAACTCTAGATGTGACAGAGACATCTTACTTCCTGTACAGTCACCCAAAGTTCTTCTGCATCATTGGGGCATCCATCTTCAGCCTACATGTTCATAGTATCCAGCAGACATTTTTCATTAAGTAGGAAATTTTAAAGACAGTTCAGTCACTTTCTTCTGTATCCTGTAGAATGTCTCACAGACTCTTTTATGAAGCAGGAACCCCAAAGGATCATCTCACCTTCAGGCAAGTTCAGCCGTCCTCTCTCTGTGGGATCTTCGAGTCCAGTTTATGCAACAGTCCAGGCAAGAGCAGTTTCTTGCCTAAATGGCTAACAAACCCCATAGGGAGCCTCTTCAATGCCCATCTTCCTCTTGAAGTAGCTGGTGCTGCCAGGAGCAGATGTGTCTCATTGTCATGAAAAACCCTAAGTTAGTAAAACATTAAATGTCATATTCTATAGTCTTTGAAAGATGTGAAGAATGCCTATCTGAAATATATCTATGCACATCTAGAAAATCTAACTAACAAGCTTGACTATTATCGATGGTTATCCATTAACAACCAAATTATACATTTTTAAATGAACTACACAATCACAATACCTTAATCAAGATCAGAAATACATATACATATAACAAAATTGACCTCAATACATCAAGATTTATACCAATGAAAATTATTCATATTTACATCATATCCCCCTTTAAATGTCAAAACATTTACAAACATTATTTGGGAATATGGGCGCAGTTATTTCTCTCCAAACTGCTTCCTGCTGAATGGGGGCACTCTTAATCAGGTCTTTCATGGTGTATCCTATGTACTAGGTTCATCTCAGTCACCAGTTGAGTGAAGGAATTTTCTTAAGGTGTTCACGATGACCTTTCAGGAGGGCATGGTCTATCATAATATATTGGTCTAGAAGGAATCCACAGGGTCTCATCCTCTGTGATCACATCCTTAGACCCAAAGTCTGAAGTCATTATACCTTTATAATAATATACAAGCTCGTTTAGCTTGGCAGCCCATACAATCAAAAGTCTCTCTGTACTTAGCGCCCTTACAGTCAAAAAATTTAAAGAAAATACAATAATACATATAATCCAGACGCTCTGTGAATTTTCCATTTTTACATGGCTATTTTTTTTTAATGATTATCTGTACTCTCTCTTTAAAGACTTTACCCATTTTTTAAAGTATCAACCTTATTTTATGACTATATACTCTTTATTTTCTCTCCCAAGTCTATGTACTGTGACCCAGTTAGAGGTCTTTTATGTCTGAATCTGTCCTACTGCATTGTCTGTAATTCTCCACTGTCTTGAAGAGCTTTTAAAATGCTAAGCAGCTAGGTTGCAGCTGCTCAGGATGTCGGCTCCACCTCTCTCCAATTTCAAAATGGTGGACATGCCATTTTTGCTCATTCTGGGGCCACCAGGTAGGAGCCACACTCAGTACTTTAACTCGGAGACTGAGCATGCAACACATAAACTGTTTTTATCTGAGCTACAGTCAAATCTGCCAGACAGAGCACTGTGTGGCGGCATAATCCGCCATGCTCTCCCGATTGTTCACGCCTAGTAGACCTGATTCTTTTGCCTGCCCAGGCAGATCTCAGAGTACTTTGTTTCCGACCCCAAGTAGGCACACAAACATCCGGGACCACAAATGCTCTATAGCCAGAATTTGCACGGAAACCTCATTTTAAAATGGCGTGGCTTTTTTTTTTTTCCGCGACAGCTGAATCAGGAAAATCTCTCTTAAAACAGCGGTGGCAAGCCACAGGCAAACAAAAGAAGCTTTGTTAAACTCTGTATCATTTTTGAAGTTCTCTCAGGTTTTACGTGGAGTCAGTCAACCACGTTCAGGTGCCAATCTGTTGTATGAAGATCAGCTAGCTTATAACCAATATTAATTATAAACAAACAAACAACAACAACAACAAAAATCTTGCTCTTCTTCTGTCTTTCTAGCACCTCCTCATTCATTCTAGTGGAGTTGGGAGCTTCAGTATAACCCTTTGGTCCAATCAGCCCCACCTGCAAAATATTCAATGCAATGAGTCATTGGTCTGGTTCAAACCTTCTAGCACACCATGATCACTGGATCCTCACCAAAACTACACTCAGATATTGTGCTGTTGCCCTGAGTCATGGAGATCCTGTGATTATCCGTTCTGCAGGACCAGACCCTCCATGTACTCCAGCAGTCCATAGATGGGGTGGCCATTAGGTTGAGCCAACCCAAGTGTTGTGGGTCTAGGTGGTAGCTGAGCTGTTCACTCCAGGCCACTGGGACTAGCCCCTTCATGTGAGGGGCACGACCAGGTGGGTCCACCTCTCCAGAGTTCTGGGGGCTGGCTCTCCCATGAAGGTGGTGGGGCCATCTCTCCTGTTGCAGTGTGGAGCAAGGGACAGTGCCAGCTTTCCCAGGGCCAATGAGGGTTAGGGCCATCTCAGCATGACTCTCAGATTTCAACATACAAGGTTTCTATGACACCTCCCCACCATGGTAAAATGGACCATGGACATGATCACAGACCCCAGCCACAGCAGGAACCTGGACCCAGGACATACAGCCCTTGACACTAGCTCGGGCTCAGATGTCAGGATGTCACCATGGCCCAGGTGACAGCACAGGCCCCCCCCCAGATTAGCATGGCTCCTAAAAGCCTGCTCCCTGTGATTTACTTCCTCCAGCAAGGCTCTAATTCTTAAAGAATATATACCCTTACCAAACAGTACTACTGGCCAGAGACCAAATGTTCAAACGCTGAGTCAATAGGGTATATTTAATATTCACTCCACAACATGGATCTATAATCTGACACACTTGTTTTCCAGCCCATTACAGCAGATGTGTTAAGATTTAGGGTCATTCAAATGTGGTCTGTTTAGTTAATAACCAACAGCTGGTATTGAAGGCAACATCTATAGACACAGGTACTTGTCACAATGAAGGAAGCTGTGCACAGAACAAGTTTAGCAGGTGAGCAATTCCTAATTCAAAAGTTTGCCCCTTTCTCTCATAATACCAGGTATAGAAAAGTTGATTTAGAGAGCACTGTGTACATTAATATCATAATTTAATGCCCTAGATGGTACTTTTGACATACCCTTTGAGCGTGGATATGTTGTAATCATCAGCTATATTTGTCAAGATTAAGCTAAACATTGGTAGACTATAAATGGAAGTTTCTGTCCCACCTGGTCCCGCAGCCATTCAGTCCCAAAGAAACACACAGAGGCTTATTTAATTACAAACTGTTTAGCCTATTAGCTCAGCCTTATTATTAACTAGTTCTTACAACTTAACCCATAATTCTTATTTATGTTTAGCCACATAGTTTGGTATCTTTTCTCAGTACAGTATTTTCATCTTACTTCCTTTGTATCTGGAGGATGACTGTGACTGAGTCTTTCCTCTTCCCTGAATTCTCCTGGTCTGGTCATCTCACCTATACTTCCTGCCTGGCTACTGGCCAATCAGCATTTTATTAAACCAATAGGGAATGAAAATCTTTATAGTGTACAAGAGCATTATCCCACAGCAGTAGACAACTTAGTGAAGGCTTGCAAATTTTTAAACTCACAGGCACACTGCTCACAGAAAGGAAAACCATTTCCAGCCCATGGTACTGTTCTCATTAATACATCAGTAAATGAATAGGGCTTGGAAGACATGTTATCCCAGAAACTTGCTTGCACTGAACGTATAACCATTATCACTGCACACATTTCCTATGGGGTTTAAAATCAAAAGAACTTGTCTGCCATTTTTTTTTCTAAAATTACTTGTAAGTACCATGTATGATGTCTACACCTCTCTAGCTGTGTAGTGTCTATATAAGTGTGTTTTCTGAGTTCTTACTTAGGACTCTAAAAAGCAGTAGGAGTAGGGGGGCTTACTGATATACTCAGTCAAAAATCAGCTTGAGCAGTAATTACACTGGATAGAGACTGTGTGCTGGTTTGAGAGGGAGTGTCTGCCACAGACTCAGACATATGGCCTTGCTAGAGGAAGTGTGTCACTGGGGATAAGATTTGAGGTTTCCAAGCCATGTACCATTCCCAGTTCTTGCTCTCTGTTTAGTGATTGCAGTTCAAGATGTGAACCTTCAGCTTTCTGCTTCTGCCACCATGGCCTTCACTCTTCCAACTCTCTTCTGTAAGTTTTTATTGGTGTGGTGTTTTATCATAACAATAGAGAAGCAACATAAGCTGTAGTCCTGAGCCCAAAGGTCAACAATCTACACATTAAGTCACAATACATATACCATCACCCTGTCCCTAACACAATGCTTTTTTCTTTAATAACATTAAAATATAACAATTTAAATAAATTTTAGAGGAATATCTTTTTCCTGAGGCAGCCAGAACATATGTGCAATTAAGACTTTCTGAAACAATAATAATATTTGCACGAGACTCATAAAATAAAGGCATTTTGTTTAATAATTTGGGAATTTCATCACATCATTTCAATTTCATTATTTTCCTATGCTATATCAAGATTCTTGCATACCAAAAATATAGTGCAGGTAAAATTCAGACAGGGTAAACTATAAAATATTTATTCATGTCTATTTATTGTAAACATAGTTATAATGACTTTATGTTTTATGTATTTGTGCATATATGTGGATGCATATGTTTGTGTGGTGCATGCATCTAGATGTCAGAATGACAATGTAGGGTACTGTTCTCAGAAATCCATCCACCTCCTTTGAGCTTTCCAACCAGTTAGACTGGATAACCAATGAGAACCAAGGATTCTCTTATCTTTGCCTCTCCAGAACTGAAATTACAAGTATATACCACCACGCCTAGAACTTTTTGAATGTGTTCTAGGGACAAACTCAGGCCTTCATATTTTCAAGGCAAGCATTTGATTGAATGAACCATCTCCCCAGGCTCTGAGTATTTATTAAATACTTATATATACACAAAGGGCTGAGATCACACACTGCCTAAGAGGAGTTTACAATCTTTCCAGAAACATATCAATATATCTACTGTATGATTCCAACAACCTTTCCATATTTATTTCTTTCACTTAGCGATAGGTATTTAAGAGTCCTCTGTATCATTTCAAAGAGAGTATACTATCCCTGAATAATATTCCATTGTATGCATTTGCCACAATTTATTTCCTCATGATCTGAAGGAATTTTAATTCATAGTTTATAACTACTGAAATGTAATAATGATATTTTTCTAAAATGTTTGTTTATCACTATAAGAATAACTTGTAGCTAAATTAAATTTGATCATCTTGTGACAAAATATATTTTCTTCATATAGTTTTTCTCATCAGTCTCAATTCTTACTCCTCAGTGTAGCCAGTGCTAATACCACCGATATTAGAATTATCCCTCATTAGTATGTTTCTGTATAGGTTAGATAAAATATGAATTCCCCTAAACACAAATTAAGATTGCATGTTTCTCCCCCTTGAAGTTGTATTTCAAGGCTCTCATTTGTCAAAAGACAGAACTGTAATTTGAGAATTTCAGGCCTTTCAAAATCCAATACTGGATTGGAGCTCAGTGGTAGAATGCTTACCTAGTACACACAAGCTCTAGGTTCAGTCCCCAGTACTACAAACAAACAAAAAGAAAATGAAGCAAAAATCCAATACTCAGTCACCACTCTTGCCTCTTTCTTCCTTGTATTTTGCTCTTTAGTCTTCAGCCCAACCAAGTTGCTTCTTGTTTGAGAACTTTAATTTCTGTCCTCTTCTCTCCTGTACCTTTCTCATTAATCTGCACATTTCTTCAAAGGATAATTCTACAGTTATTCAATCACTTATTCATTAAAAACTGGGTTAAACATTAAATACTGGAACAATTTAAGACCATCCAGTTATCTATGAAGTTTCCATTCTAGCTGCAAAGACTTTTAAAACTCCGGCAGATTTTCAGAATCTGATTTAGGAAGAGTCTTGCAAGAAGAGGAGCCAACTCTTCTATCTCCACATCAGCAGAGCAGCAAATTTCAAAATTTTTGAGTAGGAATTAACTGTGAGGGCTTGGAACATCCATGAGAAGTTAGAAGGTAAGAGTCATGGAAGGCATGTATTCTGTGTATTCTCATTTGGTCATTCAACCAAAGACAACTGTTAATTTATTAAATTTAACTGCCAGGAAGTTTCATGGAAGAAGTCTTTCTTGGTTGGGGTAAAACTGGAAATAGAAGTGCCAGTGACTAGGGCACAGGAAGAGGCAGGCATATCTAAGAATATGTATGGCCCCGTAGATGCATGGATTTGAATGTTTGACCTATACGAAGTGGCACTATTAGTCGGAAAATGTATCACTGTGGTGGTGGGCTTTGAGATCTCATTTATGCTCAAGCTACACCCAGTACATAGCATTGTTGGCTGAGGATCAAGATATAGAACTCTCAGCTCCTCTGGTACCGTGTCTGCTACATGCTCTTATGCTTCCTGTTATGAACATAACAAACTAATTTGTACACAGATTCAATTAAATGTTTTTCTTTATAAGAGTTGCCATGATCATGATGTCTCTTCACAGCACTAGAAACCCTAACTAAGACAACTGGCTAGTTCTCACACAAACCTCCCTGCGATCTGCCCTGGTCACAAGATGTCTCACTGGGGTGGTGGGCTTTGAGATCTCATATATGCTCAAGTTACACCCAGTACATAGCCTTGTTGGCTGAGGATCAAGATGTAAAACTCTCAGCTCCTTTTCTGGTACCATATCTGCCTACATGCTTCCTATTATAAATGTAACAAACTAATTTGTACACAGACCCAATTAAATGTATTCCTTTATAAGAGTTGCCATGATCATGATGTCTCTTCACAGCACTAGAAACCCTAACTAAGACAACTGGGCAGTTCTCATATAAACCTCCCTATACCCTCTCCTAGTGACAAGGTCACTTGCTTAGTGCCTTAGATGCCAAGCCTAGTCCACTCATTCTTTCTGGGAAGCCCTGTTTCTTCTCAACTCCAACACAAGGTTGCTGCCTCCAGCGTTTACCCATCTGCCCATCGCATTCCTTCCTGCATTCCAAGAAAAAGTGCTACCCCATACCAGTGTTCTGAGGAGACTGTGTATAACAGCCTGAACTTGCTACATAAGGAGCAGCCTGTATATGGGGAGGCACTTTAGCATGTCATCTGTGAAGCAGATAGGACCATCTGTGGAATTGGAAGGTGGTTAGTGGGAACATCTCACTGTCTCCAAGAAAAATTATTGTTTCTATGGAATCTAACTGCAGGATTTCATCCTGAAGAACACCACAGTACACCATTAAAACTTCAGAAATCAAACATGTAGAAAAAACACTAGTTTGTTCTACCTTCTCTGAGAGCAATGGAATTAGCCCAAGTTCCATCAAGGTATTAAGGAGACAGAGCTATTTATTCCTTTATTTTGCTGGCTTTCTCCTGGTAGGTGTAATGATCCAAGAATGTCCAGCCATGTCAGTTTTCTCAATATAATGGCGTGATTATCCATTGTTAGACCCTTATTTCTGGCTTCTCTACCTGACAATTACAGTTTGAATATAAAGCGTTCCTGTGAAAAGGCTTATCTGCCAAAAACTCGGTTTGCAGTTAGAAGGACTATGAAGAAGTGACTGGATCCTGAGAGCACTACTCTCAGTACTCGCAGCTGGTAGGACCTGATAACTGGAGGAGTAGATGTGCCTTTGAGGGCTATTCCTTGTCCTTCTCACTACTCCACCCACAGTTCAACTGTTGTGAGATAACCAACTCTTTTCCACCACATGCTCCCTACCATGATGCTCTGCCTCATTACAGCCTGAAAGTAATGGAATTATCCAAGCATGAAATGAAACTTCTAAAACTCCCTAAGTTGTTTACCTTAGGGACAAAGATACAAAAAAGTGTTCTTCAATTATGTCTGAAGGCATACCATCATTCTCCCTCATATTATCCCTTCAAGCATTATTTTAAAAAGGGATAGAGGTAGGAAATAAAAATATTAAAAGGGAATAGGAACCTGAAACACTTTTTCTCAGTCAACTTATTTATTGTCCTTGCTCTAAGTCTCAGATTAAACTTTCAGAAAGCAGCACAGCATGTCCAGGATTAAGAGATATTTTATGTTAGAGATTTAAAACTGATTTCATGTTGTTATCCATGTTGAACAAACTTTTGGGCTGAAATGATTACAGATTAAGAAAATGTGCTCTTGGCCAAGACTACACTGCAACATATTTTTTTTCCTAAATGTGAGGATGTGACCAGCCCGGCTAAGAAAGGTACCGAGCCATGTGGCTAACATAGTTAAGGATGATGGGTTAATATAAGCAATAAGAGCTAATAAGAAGCCTGAGCTAATGTGCCAATCAGTTTATAACCTAATGTAGACTCTCTGTGATTTTCTCTGTGACTAAATAGCTGGGGGACCTGGCAGGACAGACATCCCAGCAAGCAGGACCTCATACTACAGGGCAGATGCAAGGGGACAGGGAGACGAGTGGGATCAGAATGCATGATATGACATCCACGAAGAATCAATAAAAGTTAAAAGAATTTTTAAAATATTCAGCAATAAATGCAAGCAGGTGAGAAAAAATGAACTAACTAGAAAATAAGTCCACACAATGTAAAACGCATGAAGGAAAAAATGAGCTGTGGTACAGCATATTAAATTGGTAACATATGCATAATGAGAACACCAAAGAGGGGTGTGGTGGTTTAAATAAGAAGGCCCCCATATTTGAATGTTTTCCAGAGAGGGATTAGGAGGAGCAGCTTTATTGGGAGAAGTGTATCACTGGGGTAGGGTTTGAGGTTTGGTTTCAAAAGCCCATGCTAGCCTTGGTGTCACTCCTTCTTAAACCACAATGCAGCTCTCAGCTACTTCTCTAGCACCATTTCTGCCTGTGTGCCACCATGCTTACCACCATAATGACAATGGACTGAACCACTGAAACTGTAGCAAGCCCTCAATTAAATTTTTTCTTTTCTAAAAGTTGCTTTGGTCATGGTGTCTTTTCATAGCAGTAACCACTTATTAGGACAAGAGGAGAGATAGGAACGTCTGAAAAAAGTACAGAAGGAAATATTGGCAGAGTAGTTCCTGAATTTTACACAAAAATGTCTCTATTGATTTAAGATAGGACAAACTTGTAACTAAGAAACTAAGAAGCAAAGCCTGGATACAAGACAAATAGGTAATCTTGACAAATAGGTTACAAGAGATAAAAAATATCCCATTATATTAAGAGATGTCTTTGAATAAATAACCACATAAGAAATATGGTAACAGGATGACCTACTCTGGGGATACAGGTAGATCTGGAGGTAAACTCAGTGGTAAAGTCATATGTAATTTGCAAAAGTCCCTGCATTTAACTACCAGTAATTAATCTAAAAGTGAAAGAAATAGTTAAGCATGAATTATCTATATCTAGAAAAAATGAGAAATTAAAACTTTCCCTGATGAAGAAAAATTGAGAGCTCTCATTTACCATGGACAAAACTGGTCCAAACTACATTATGACCCAATAACATATGGTCCAAAAATCTATAGACAGAAAACAGATCAAAGCTTACTTGGAATTGGAAGGAATAGAGTAAGAATTAAAGTGTTTAAATGATCTCTTTAAGGTGATAAAGAGATTTTAAGTCAAATTCAAAGTCAGTTCTTAAATTGATTCTGGTAATAGTTATAGATATCTGAAAAATCACAGAACTCAACATTTTTTAAAATGGGAGAATGGTGAAGTATGAAAACTGAATTCCAGAAAACCTGTTTTGGAAATGAGAGAAGGCAAAGTGACTCAGATATTAGAGAGAAGATAAACAAATCCAGGATGAATTGATTAGAGAAGACACATCAGGAAAATGCTTTCCAGGAAGAAAATGCCAAGTGGAGCCATGTGGAACTTTCCAGGGAAGAGTAAGAAAAGTAGAGACAGGAGTTATAGAAAAGTTTACTAAGGTAATATCCACCAGATTTTCAAATAATCAGGTCCAGGGAGACCACAGAAAAACTGAAAGACAAACTGAAGTATCACAGAGATTTGAAGTTGGATGCAACCAGGTTTCCCACCTAGCTCTATTCCGCCCTATCACAGTCCAAAGCAGCTTCTTAATTCATTAACCAATAAAAACAACACATATACAGACCGACTTCCTACATCAAGGCTAGGAGTGTGGCTTAGTGATAGAGCATTTTGTCTTGTACTCATGGAGAACTGGGTTCTACCTCCTTTATGGAAGAAAGAGAAGGGCATCTAAGTCAACTAGTCAGAGTTCTCACATTGAAAACTTGAATTCAGTATTACAACTTTCAGCTGAAGAACACAGCAACATTTTACTACTTCAACAAACTGTTACATAAATCAACTACTTTAAAAACAAATATATTTATTTTCATATTTCTCATGTATGTAAATTCTTACTATTTATTATCTAACACTCTGTGATGATCATTGAAAAACCTGTCAGATATAAATATGAAGTTCAGTAATATTTAAGAACCTGCAACTTCCCACATACTACTTTTGACTCATGAACATACATGACTTTTGTATGTTCATGGAAAAGTGTCTCATCCATTTATTTTCTACTTTTCTATGTTAATATTTAGACAAATATTTTTAAAAGCTATTATAATATAAACTGATTATTGAAAACCAAACTCAACCTGAGATACTCCCTTGTATGAAATGTGTAGTTTCTCTAGGAGGAGAAAAGATAAATGAGAGACCTGGTCTGCCTCAGAGCCCCTATATTCACTTTTCTTATGAATATCTCATTTCAGCTGACAGCCCCAATGATCTTGAAAAGGAACGAGAGGGCCCATATGTAGCAGTAGCAACTGAATGCACAGCTCTCACATATGGGCTTTTTTTCTCATCAAGTAAGATAAAACTGATTTTTGTTGATTTGTTAACAACTTAAGTTCCTTCCAGCCTCACAGAAACTAAAAACAACAGAGAACTAGTTAAAATAAGCATAGCCACAAAGGAGGTGAAATTCTCTATCCTCATTAAGATAAATCTTGTCACAAGCACTCTTCAACTGGAAGCTTTATACTTTGAGTTAGAATTTACACAAAGCTCTCATGTTATGACAGAAATACAAATTTAAACTTCCATTCTGTGGTGGTTGGAATGAAAATGACCCCAATAGGCTCACAAGGAGTAGCAGTATGAGGAAGTGTGACCTTGTTGGAATAGGCATGACTTTATTGGAGGAAGTGTGTCACTGGGGGTGGGCTTTGAGATGTAAAATGCTCAAGCCACGTCCAGTGTCTCTCTTCCTGCTGACCTGGATATAGAACTCTCAGGTACTTCTTCAGCATCATGTCTGCCGACATGTTGCCCTGCTTTCTACCATGATGAACCCGGACTAAACCTCTGAACTGTAAGCCAGACCCAGTTAAGTATTTCCATATAAGAGTTGCTATGGTCATGGTGTCTCTTCATAGCCGTAGGAACCCTAATTAAGACACATTCTAACTTGGTTGTTTCTTATTTTAAAAATTACCATTTTCTTTAAGAGAAGGGTATCATGCAGTCTAGTCTCAAATATACTTGATATCTTGACTTGGCTTAGCTTATGTTAACTAGGAATATATAGACTTGGCTTAAAATTTCTTATCCATTTTTCCTCTACTTCCCAGGTGCTCTTATGTTAAAAATTAAACAAACAAAAAACGCCTGCCTTTTGATAAATCAATGTACTTAACTCTTGTGCTATGTAAATAGCACTGTGCTTGGTTTCTGGTTCTTTCCTGGAGAACTGCGAAGTCATGCATTTCAGACACAGTACTTTTGAGCTTCTGACATAGAAAATTTTCCCTTTGATAATATCATTCTGCTACATTACAATCAGGAAAGAGGATGTTACCTGAACCAGCATGTGATTCTTCAGTGACAAGGTCCTAGTAAGAGGTGGTCTGAAAATGAGAAAATAAAGAATATTGGAAAGTTGGGAACAGGAGGTCTTATATAAGTTGATGGATTCTGCCAAGCAAATTTATTAACAAGTACAGCATCTTTTATACAGGGGGAAATGGGACAGAGTCAGCAGATAGCTATCACACATGGGAGGAAGTCAGCTGGAAAAGAATCAAGCAATGTTTTACAAAATGAACACAAGATACCTGGAGTGCATCACAGACGGAGCACACAGTAGTTATGGAACTGATAACTGTAGACTTTTGCGGGGGAAAAAGCCAGGTTTCCAGGAACAAAATCTTCAACTCCTTAGAGGCTCCAGCCACAGTCTCAGCCCAGTCTTTGCAAAGTCTGTCATTGATCAAGGACGTAGAACTATTATTATCTTTGTCCTTTTATGGGGACTTTTGAAATAGCCTTGGATAACCCTGGCTCCTAACAAGGAAGCACCAGAACTGTCACATTGTGATGGAGTTGGGATTGTGTGAGAGCTTAACATCTGGAAAGATTGAGGGAGGATGAAGGAAATATGGTATTTCCTATTTTAGGATTCACCAGACGACTGTCTTCTCTGCATACAAACCTTTCCCCACTAGGGACTTTTTGTTATCACCCTTTTCTATCCTTGAACAAGTTGGTCTAAGATATCCATGGCCATAAAAGCCTGCAACGGCTTCTGGGTCAGGTTGCATTACTTAGTTATATTCATGCTGGCAGGACAAATTGGGGATTTTGTTTTTCTTTCTAGAATGTTCTGCCTGTACTCTGAAGATCTTGCAGGGTTCTCTGTCAGAAGGGCTGTTCTAAGTGGTAGAAGTCTCTGGAGCTCCCTCTCTCTAATTTTTTATATAAACTGCTTTGATCCAGAGGGGCTATGACATGGTCTTGAAAATTAGACTCCCTTTATTTGATGTTCAACTCAGATTTTCAAATTCACTAGACATGTGCTATATAGTACTATGGCCATTAGCTACAAGTAATAGCTGAACATTTGAAGTTTAGTCAATACCCTCAGCCAAGCCAGTGACTTAACTATATCAGTAAAATTGCCTTCACTTCTTTTTCCTGACCAGGGAGTGCAAACCTACATGTTTTGCATTCTCTTTCTATTGGGCAGTACAGCACTATAAAGCTGGTCAATCCCTATCTTTAGTGACTTTGCAAGTCCACATGCATGCTACAGTCATCTCTGGAGACCTGGGTTGAACTGCTCTACCTCAAGTTCACTGAGGGTTTAAACAGGTACTTGCATTTCTGGGTAGTAGATTACGAAGAGTCAGAGACAGGGACCAAAACTGTCAGTCCTGGTATCCTTTCCTCACCTACTTGTTTGTGTCCTGGGGTCTTTATCCATATAAATACATTTCTTGTTTTATTTTTTATTTTTCCTTAATGACTTGTTTTACTACAGTTAGGATTGAAAATGATGAGATGAAATACTAAACAATGGAGCAAGTATCTTTGAGAATTGCTTAAATTTATCACAGGAATTTGACACACTCTCCTACAGATGATTATTGAATTCTACAAATAACAGCAGGAGTTTCTGGTGCTATCCACTTGTTTAACCCCAACATTACAGACGGATTTACCTTTTCGGGCCCAACACTCTGGCATGTCCTCTACTTGTCAGAGCTTGGAGTTGAGGCTTGGGTGCTGGAGCTAGTGGGGAGGTCCCGCTTAGGGAATTCCCATAATGTCCACAACCATCCACACACACAAACTCACTTGTGCCGAAATCTCCAGATCCATAGTCTTGTCTAGTTCACGTAGGGCAAATACCAGTAGACTCCCTCTCTTAGAGCAGATGAGAAAACAATGGCAGGAGACAGCGAATCCATATGTTCGCAGAATAATGGTCACATAGGACCTTCATCCTAAAAATGGCAAGGTAGACAGCTCTAAAAACGACAATTCCCATAAACCTTTGCGACTAGAGGAAATAGAGTCCTCGCCCCACCCCTTGTCACAGCATTGATCAGTGGGTTGGGAGATTAAAATGTCTGTTTATCCCTGGCCATGGGGACCCATGTTTTTTCCACATCAGAGTCCTAGGCATAACAATAAGCTACCAACTGATTCTCGGTTGGGTCCTGTTTAGAGAGAGAAGCAACAACAAAAGAAGCCTCAAGAGAATGTGAAAAGCACTAAGGAAACTTGTATTACCTGGTGCAATAGTATTCGGATGACGCAGGAGGTTCTTATTTTCAAAGGACATAAACCGAAACTTGGACAGCTATGCATTTGTAGCTTAAGACAATTTTGTGTATACGTGTGCTTGTGTATGTTATTTGTCTGTGTGTGTGTGTGACTGTGGGTATATGGAGACATCAGAGGATAGTACCTTGGTTTTTGAGACAGAGCCTCTCACTGACCTAGAGTTTACTGATTAGGCTGGGCTAGCTAGCCAGTAAATCCCAGTGAACACTCGTTTCCTCCACAATGCTGTTACATAAGTGTCCACCACACCCTTCATTTTTCACGTGAGTTTTATAGATGGAATTTTAGTCTTCACCACCCAAATTCTGGGATCACACAAGTGTGCCACGATGCCTTTTTTTTTCTTAATACACATACTGACATCTAGATATTACTAAGTAGGGAGTTCTGGTCTTTGCCTTTGCTTCTGGTGTAAGATCAAAAGGTAAATATGGGGACTGTAGAGTAGAAAAGAGAACAGAAAGCAAGGATAGGAGTTCCCATGGTAGCAGAGACATTTCTGAGGGGGTGAAAATCTGAGTCTTGAAGAATGTCAAGGAGGAATGGAGCAGTGAGTGAGTCCTCAGGCTGGAGACCCAACAGTCTAGTGTTGTGTGTCTATTCCATTTGTCTGTATGTCATATAATAATAGAAGAAAAAGAAGGAAAAAGAAGAAACCAATGTCATACAGACACCAAACAACATTAAAAATCCTTCTTTAGAGATAAGGAAATAGCTTAGAGGCAGGGGGCATGCCTAGCAGTGTGAAGCTAAGGGTCCAGTGCCCCCACAAAAGGCTTCCCATTTTTTCCTTTTTTCGTTTTTCAAGACAGGGTTTCTCGGTAGCTTTGGAGCCTGTCCTGGAACTAGCTCTTGTAGACCAGGGTGACCTCGAACTCACAGAGATCCGCTTGCCTCTGCCTCCCTAGTGCTGGGATTAATGGCATGCGCCACCACTGCCCAGCTTGGCTTCTTTGACTCTTTTGAGTCAGGACAGGAACTACCTTCTCCTCTTTCTGAAGTGAACAGACATGACATGGAAACCTCAAAATAAAGAATGTATACTTCTTTCATCTACAAGGCCAATTTATTTAAATCAAGAAGTTACTCCAGAAAATAAAAATGTTTACCTCTTCCTGATTACTATACCAAGTTTAATCAAAGATATGGTTAGTGTGCCATGAAGAATATGTATGAATGGATATCCCATCACACATCCCAGAATGGAAAGTATATTTACAGATGCAGCCATTCTGGTCAGCCACTATAAAAAAGAAATGAAACCCCATACTCAGCATACTCATTCTTTGACCTTAAGAACATCTACAAACAAAATATTAGTGAAAATCAGATCTCCAAGTTACCCAGTCATGTAAAAGGATTTTCAGTTATAGTCAGAAGGTTCACCCACCATTTGTTTCATGATCTTTTCTAACTTTTCTGTCATGAAAAAATGGGAGCAGATGCTATTCTTCCCTTTCCCTTAGAACTGTGCAGTGTTTTCTCTGGCCCTGAGCAAGTCTGATACCTCTTATAAAATTATGTCCTCATCATCAAGAAGGTCCAATCTGCTGCAACAGGAGTTACAGACAGTTGTGAACTGCCACGTGGGAGCTGGGAATTGAATCCGGGTCTTCTGGAAGAGCAGACAATGCTCTTAACCACCAAACTATCTCTGCAGCCCCAGATTTCTGCAATCTTAAAACCAACTTGGTCTACAAAGGGTGTTCCAGGCCAGCCAGAGCTACACACAGTTAGAGAGCCATCAACTTAATGGCTATTCATACTGAGTCAAAAATGCTCACCTACTAGCTACTGAGCTATTCCATAGAGGAGGAGACTCAATCTGAGTCATAATATAATTTTATTTCTCCAGAATAGAAGCTTTGACTAAATACGTGTTTAGGTACAAGTTTGTTTTTTTCCTGACAGAAGTATAAAATACTTATATAGGGGTAGATTATAAGCAATTAGAAGGAAACAAAGTATGCTTTAGGCATAAACACACACACACACACGCACAAATTAGCTCAGTGTTCTTGAGAAATTAAAAAAATGTCTTTCTGATGATGGTGATGCATCCAGGGTTCTGCACACAGTGGCCAAGCACACTACTACTGGACTGTATGCCACACCTTCAAATTTTTGTGACAACAGGCTTTACCATTGTAAATATCAAACCCAAAATAAAATTAAATATACATTAAAAATTTGTCTCAGATCTAATTATATAATCTCTTCTAGTTATATAGTCTTATTCCCCAATCACTTTAAGTTTAAAAGCAAGGACATGCCTAATAGGGCACTGCTCTCAATACTAAAATATACACTAAATGACAATAACTCTTCAGTCAGCATACTGGTCACTGAACAGGGGTTAGGGTGAGCAGAATATACTATCCCACCGATCTACAAATTGAAGCAACTGTTGAATATGTCAAAGAAAGTTTTTTTTCCTTTGGTCTTTTGAAAAATGCCTCTCAATTGCATGAGATTATAATATGATTACATAATTTCCCTTTCTTCCCTCCCTCCAAGTCTCCCATGTCAACCTTTCAAATTATTTTGCAATTAGGGGTTTTTGTTTTGGTTTGGTTTTGCCTTTTATGTCTGTGCATAACTTGCACGCAGGGCCTTGCAAAAGTCAGATGAGGGGCCGGGCAGTGGTGGTGCATGCCTTTAATCCCAGCACTCAGGAGGCAGAGGCAGATGATCTCTGTGAGTTCCAGGCCAGCCTGGTCTACAGAGTGAGTTCCAGGACAGGCTCCAAAGCAACACAGAGAAATCCTGTCTTGAAAAACCACCACCACCACCACCGACAAGAAAAAGTCAGAAGAGGGTAGTGGACCCCCTATAGCTGGAGTTCCCTGACCACTGTGAGCTGCCACATGGATGCTGGGAATCAAACCTCCATCCTCTGGAAGAGAAGCCGTGCTCTTCCAGAGGTCCTGAGTTCAATCCCCAGTAATCACATGGTGGCTCACAACCATCTAAAGTGAGATCTGGTGGCCTCTTCTGGCCTGCTGCCATGCATGTAGGTAGAAGGACACTGTGTACATAAATAAATCTAAAAAAAAAAAACCAAAACATGAAATGTACTCACGATGTGTCTATTCCGAAGGTATCAGCGGTAAATCATTTCGTACATATTCCACACTGCAACTCCACCTCTCCCAGTAGTCGACCATTCTCTTCATCCACAGAGCCCACCTGGGTATCCATAGCTTCTGAAGTATCGCCAGCACCTTTCTGGAGGCACGGGGCATGAAGAGAATCAAATGAGTTGACTGACAACATTTTTTAAAATTAGATTAAAAATCTTAAAACAAAATCTAGTTTGTCTTTCAAAGCCGTAAAATAATACTTACTAGAGTATCTTTCCCATTAGAAGATTCTGTCTCCAGACCACTTACATCAACCAAGTTTGCATCCCTATAAGCAAAGTAAGAGATTTCAAGATAAACAAACTTCAAAATACCTATTCCGAAACCAGCAAACAACAAACAAAAACCGTGGAAGCAAATACGGATGGACTTCCCAGTCTCAGTCTGTCCTGGACTGGATGCCCAAGGAAACAATCCGAACATTATAAGGGATATAGTCAAGTCAAGCACAGTGAAGCCTAATGGGTCCTTACAGACGTGTACATGGCTTAGAGACAGTCCTAGGCGTAAGAGTCACAGGGATCTGTGTTTCCCAGGGCTTTCAGAAGGACTGTGACTCCTTCCACACCGGTACCAAGGGGAGATGCCCTTCCTTCGCTATTTCAGGAACTAGGATTAGGAGAGGCAGGCAGGAGGATTGCAAGGGCGGGAGAGAGGGAAACAGGCTTGGCTCACACGGGTGCTGCAGGAAACGAGGTCTGAGACGCAGTTCAGAGCCTAGCAGCCTGCGGGGTTGCAGAAGGCATCGCGCAGGCCAAGCCTTTGGGCTCAGGGCCAGGGTCTGGAGAGCAGGACCGTTGCGGAGCGAGCCTCGGGTTTGCACAAG